AGTCCATGCAGATAGAGTGGAAACCTCCACAGCAGTCCATGCAGATAGAGTGGAAACTTCCACAATAGTTCATGCAGATAGAGTGGAAACTTCCACAATAGTTCATGCAGATAGTGGAAACTTTCACAATAGTCCATGCAGATAGAGTGGAAACCTCCACAGCAGTCCATGCAGATAGAGTGGAAACTTCCACAGCAGTCCATGCAGGTAAAGTGGAAACTTCCACAATAGTCCATGCAGATAGAATGGAAACTTCCACAATAGTCCATGCAGGTAAAGTGGGAATCCTCACAGCAGTCCATGCAGGTAAAGTAGAAACCTCTACAGCAGTCCATGCAGGTAAAGTGGAAACCTCCACAGCAGTCCATGCAGGTAAAGTGGGAATCCTCACAGCAGTCCATGCAGGTAAAGTGGGAACCCCTTTTGTAACTTTAAATGAGGAATTTTTAAACCCCGTTTAATAGCTGCCTAACATTTGAGATTTATTGAGATATACTCCTATAATTAGGATTTGAAAGTGCTGGAGTTTGCATAGTGAAATTGAAGGATTAGCAGTATTGGAGTTATTTGGCAAATTGAAGGACTTGAAAATGCTCGAATTTGTTGGGAAATTGAAGGATTTGAAAATACTGAAGTTTGTAGATTATATGGAAGACTTTAACCTTTGGCATGGTTGTTTTGTACATGTTACAACCTTTGACAATGTTACACTTTAAATTTAATTAGATTTATTTTCAATGTATTTCAATAAATTTGGCATGAAAATGTAGTTTATAATTCAAATTTCTCTATTAACCAAGTTTCAACTTCTTAATATCAAAAGGAAATTTTGAAATCTCTCGAGTCTCCTTTTCTTTGATTTTTCACATCTATGTCAATTGTTAGATAGATTGTATAAGTTAGAACAACTGTAGATACTATGTTGTGTCTTTGTTAAATTGTATAAGTTAGAAGAACTTTAGATACTGTGTTGTGTCTTTGATAGATTGTACAAGTTACATCAACTGTAGATACTGTGTTGAGTGTTAAATAGATTGTTTAAGTTAGGTCAACTGTAGATGCTATGTTGAGTGTTAGATATATTGTATAAGTTACATCAACATTAGATACTATGTTGAGTGTTAGATAGATTGTATAAGTTATGTCAACATTAGATACTGTGTTGTGTCTTTAATAGATTGTACAAGTTAGGTCAACTGTAAATACTGTGTTGTATTTTAGCTAGGCTGTACAAGTTAGGTCAACTGTATATACTATGTTGTGTCTTTGAAAGATTGTATAAGTTAGAACAGCTGTAGATACTGTGTTGAGTGTTAGATTGTATAAGTTAATGCAACTTTAGAGTCTACATTGAGTGAGAGAAAGGTTATATGAGTTAGGAAAACTTTAGAGTCTACGTTGAGTGTGGGAAAGGTTATATGAGTTAGGGCAACTTTAGAGGTTACATTAAGTGTGGGAAAGGTTATATGAGTTAGGGCAACTTTCGAGGCTACATTGAGTGTGGGAAAGGTTATATGAGTTAGGGCAACTTTAAAGTCTACGTTGAATGTTAGAAAGATTGTAGAAGTAGAGTACACGTTGAGTGTTAGATAGATGGTAATATGGACGAGATGTGTAATCTACTACACACCACATTAACATGAACTACAAATAGTGACAGGATGTATAATTTACTACACACCTCATTAACATGAACTACAAGTATGGACGGGTTCATAATCTACTATACACAACATTAACATGAACTACAAATAGCGACAGGATGTGTAATCTACTACACACCACATTAAAATTAACTACAAGTTACAACAGGATGTGTAATGTACTACACACCACATTAACATGAACTACAAGTGTGGATGGGTGTGTAATGTACCACACACCACATTAACATGAACTACAAGTGTGGACGGGTGTGTATTGTACTACACACCACATTAACATGAACTACAAATAGCAACAGGATGTGTAATCTACTACACACCACATTAACATGAACTACAAATAGCAACAGGATGTGTAATATACTACACACAACATTAACATGAACTACAAATAGCATCAGGAAGTGTAATATACTACACACAACATTAACATGAACTACAAAGAGTGACAGGATGTGTAATCTATTACACACAACATTAACATGAACTACAAATAGCGACAGGATGTGTAATCTACTACACACAACATTAAAATGAACTACAAATATCGATAGGATGTATTAGGTCATCAAGAAATTAATGTATTTTTTTAAGGTGAAGAAACCCAAAGAAGTTATATATGAAACAAAACATTTTTTAAATGAAATACTCTCCATTCTTATCAATGATGCTTTTCCATATTAGAATCAGGTTGTTAATGCCCTGATTAAAGAAATCACTTGGCTTTGAAGCAAAAACATGTCAATGTCCTTTTTAACACTTTCCACATTTGCATGCATTTTCCCATTAAGATGGTATTGCAGCGAATGAAAAAGATGGTAATCTGATGTTGTGCCATCACTATAAGATATTAGAGTATATCAAACTTTACACATTAAAAAGTCTACACTAATGTGGTGTTTAGGCAGCTTGTTTAACTATTATACATGATGTACATTTTTGGGGGGTGGTTAATGAAAGTGTTCCAAAATGCAACATTAATTTCTTGAGGACCTA